AATTCTTTTTTTTTTGAGGATCAAAAAAAAAAAATGTGCTCACTACCCCCCCCCCCCCCCCCCCCCCCCCCCCCCCCCCCACTGAGCGAATTTTTGGCCGGCGCGTTTTTCAAATTTTCGGGAGCAAAAAAAAAAAAAAAAAAAAAAAAAAAATTGTGCTCTGTACCCCCCCCCCCCCCCCCCCCCCCCCCACTGAGCGACTTTTCGGCCGGCGCGATTTTCAAGTTTTCGGGAGTAAAAAAAAAAAAAAGTTGGGCCCCCTCCCCTAAGAAATCCTGGATCCGCGCCTGGTAGAAGGAAGATGATAAGTAACATTTCGTACCAAAATTACGCAACTTTTTAATCAACCTCCAACAATGTTACCGAGTCACTTTAAGCTTTCAAGTAAATATAAGTAATTCTGGAATTATAAAAAAGGGATTTTAAGTCATCATAAAATGTTTAATTATTCTTTGGATGACAAAAATAGAGAGTTAGTTCCAGTAATTTCAAAAGACAAGAGAAATCAAGTACAATCCGATAAATCTAATTTCCTGAATTTGTATACTTTAAATCCTTACTCCCAAATAGGGTTGTTTTACCCTTGGAAAATAATGTAACTCGACCACAATAATCAACGCACTGCCAATAATAATTTGTGTAACACAACACACAGCATGCACCACCTGACATGGACTATAAATATGAACCTTATATGAATCTCATGAAACATATGCACATTTTTTGTTTCTTTTCCCTCCTTGAATTCATCTAATAAGCTTTTTGAGATAACAGTCATAATGTATTTAAGAAGGAGTAGATGGAAACAAGAGACATTTGAAGGTAAAACAATAATTACTCTTCTCTTATAAGCTTTAAAAATGTCTTTTCACTATCATAGGGGAAAGAAAGGATGTTTACCTGAGCATCATTATATATTTTGCATAGGCAATAACCTAAATTGATATGTAAACCATTGTCTCTGACCACTTTTTTGTGAATATATACAGTGCGTCCCAGAAAAAACGAAACCGATAATTATCGATGTTTTATCATAACTTAGTCACATTTATAATTAATAAATGACACATATTTGGAAAGCTTAGATCCTCCTCTTTCATTTGATGTAACTCATATGATGCATATGAAGTCTTTCGTCTACGGCTGATTGTCAACGAAACGAAGTTAAGTCTTTTGTTAATTCCGTTTGTTGCTACGGCAGGCAGCCAGTGAAAACGAATTCGTTTATTAAAGTTATGGAAATGCAAGCACTACTTTAAACAAACAGAACTTTGTTATTCCTAACCCATTTTTCCTGATTGAGGTGTCATTATGAAAGAGCAGAAACTCAACTTTCTAGAAATGTGATTTTCTCTTTGAAATTCAGATACCGTCCGCCAAATGACTTTTTGGTTTCCTCTCTTCAAATTGATTTGAATCACTCATGCGTGAAATATGCATCATATGAAAGAGGAGGATCTAAGCTTTACAAATATGTGTCATTTATCAATTATAATTGTGATTAAGTTATGATTAAAACATCGATAATTCTCGGTTTCGTTTTTTCTGAGACGCACTGTATACTTCTTTTACTAACATATATTTTTTGTAATCCTTCACTAATAATTACTTGCCTTGTGTTGTGGTATACAAATTAAAAATGTGTAAAATTCCTATACAATGAAAATATATTTGTATATTAAAGCGCAAAATGATACACATGATGGTACCATCAAAATCTAGAAAAATACGTTACATTTCTTTTTTTAATTTAATTTAAATTCATGTAATCATTGATTGAAAAGAAAATCCATATTGGTATCAGTGTATGAGACATTGATTATTTATATATTCAGTGATTATAATGAATTCATTGAGCATAGAAGATGATATACAATGTTGGTCAGTAAATACTCTTTGATGCTCTTTCCTAAGATTTCCTTGATTGCAGCATGATTAATACGTCCACACTCACAATAATAACCTGCTCTAAAAATCTTTTTCTCCAAGTAGCCCAACTGAAAATAAACCAACCTAAATATAAAGTCAAATAACACTTTAGATGTCAATTTCAGTTATTATTCCAATAAAACTACATTTCTTGGATAAAAACAAATAAAATACCTTCGACTTCCTCTAAGAAATGAAAGGCATCACAAACAACAAATAATCTGATAACATGTTGTTTAAATGGTGAATGAATGTGTAGAAATGAATGTGCTAGAAATGAGTTTTCTAATGCCTTACGAAGTGCAATCTACACCGACAATATATACATTTCATAGACAGGCTGTAGCAGATAATAACAGCATAAGTATAAATAAAATAGATTTAAACAGCAAAGAAGGGCTATCTGGTCATCAATATACTGAATGTAATCAGTAGGCTAAAAACATAGGCACCTAAATTATCATGTCATACATCCAAGTCCTATAATGTATTTAATTCAAGTAAATATCAGCAGAAGAGGAAGTTATGGCTTCCCTTATAAGGAGGTGTATCTTCGTGTAGTCTTGAGTACCATTTCAAGAGGAATTGTAGGCCTAATTATTTATTACTTTATGCCCACTTTAATATAAAAGTGCTTGATCTCAATTCTCTCACTTACTGAAGAGACAAGTTCATATAAACACACATCATCTATTTCAACAAAGAGTGAATACCATTGAATGTAATTAACATGGTCTGTCTCTTTCCAATTGAAAGCATTCCAACCATATGGCCCTTTCAATTACAAAATACGAATTGCACTGGTACCGAGGGTGATACTGCGTGATGAGAAACGCCCTAGCTGAGAAGAGTCGCGGGAAAGAAATAAACCAATTTGCATGGATACTGATGGTCTACATGATGAGCTACATTGTACTTTTCAATGTTTCTATTTCTGTGTCAGTGGTCTGTTTTTATTTAAGAGAAATATATTATAATTGCACAAAATGGAAAGTATTTTCTTATCTATCGTATTAGATCCCTATTTTGCAAGACACAAATGTAATTCGGGTGTGGGGGGGGGGGGGGGGGAAATCGGTCTTAAATTCCTCCCTCTATCCCCTCTCCTTTCCCTTTCCCCTTATACATAATGTACCTCTCCCTGTCCCTCTTACTCCCTGCCCCACCCCCCCCCTCTCTCTCTCTCTCTCTCTCTCTCTCTCTCTCTCTCTATATATATATAATAATAAATAATAATACACATTATTTATATAATATTTTGTTGCATTTGTTTTTAAATAACTATCTGAAGAAATGAAATTGAAACCGGTCATTGCGAGAAGAAAACTCTCTCAAGGATTTTTATTTCAGTTGTTTTCATTATTATTCATGTTATATATACACATCTTTTTTTTTCTTATCTGCATGATTAACTTTTGAAAATTTAAGATCACATTCTCTAGCCTAGTATCTTCTCCCACCTCAGAGGTTTATTGCAACCCCCCCCCCCCCCCCCCGCCAACATCTCCGATATCTGCCATTCTAGCAAGAATGGGAATTTCAAACGACCAATTCATTAATTCAAACTGGAAGTCCACTCCAATATTTTGGAATTGCGATCAATCAAACACAAATTGGCAACTATATGAGGTATCTCGCGGGACCCCTCTTATTTACTTTGTACTAAATTTTTATTTTCCCTAAAGAAAATTTCCAATCATACATGGAGCCTTCATATAATTAGTTGAAATATGTTTCTATTCAACCCTTGTATGAACAAATCTATTCTATCCTCAATAACTAAGAAATTGAAAGTTTATGGAATTTTCTGCACAGAGCAAATTCGAGATGACCCCGCAAGATACCTCACTTCTCTCTATCTCTCTCTCTCTCTCTCTCTCTCTCTCTCTCTCTCTCTCACTCACACATATAAGCACAGACAAAATGTAATTTTTGAAAGATGAGACTTGGAATTTTGGTACAAAAGAGAAGAAGACAACATTGAGACCATCATTTAAGATTTTGTCAAACAAATATATGACAATGAGTTTAATATACTTATAATATATGATAAGATGTCAAATAGCTCTTTACAATTAAAAGAATAGAAAGGAAAAATTGATTTTCAGTTCAATGAGTTAGAAGCAGTTGTGACTTCCCATTTTTAGATAACAGAGGGCAGCATTCCACCAAAAATCATGAGGCTTACAAGAAACCGAAAGGATTTCTTGCTTGCATATCTTAACACATGGATATCATATCAATGTCATTAATAAAATCATCTGTCGCAGTTCCTCCTCTGTACTATTTCCTATCAAATGCATTTATTTAAAAAATCCAACTTGAGAGCTAACAACTATCTACAAAAAGGTCTAAACAAAGATAAAAGACAGTTTAAATATAAAATAAGTAAAGAAAGAATTTACACCAAATAAGCTTAGGATCCTCCCCCAACCACCTCTAAAATAGATGACAGTATTTGGTCACAAGGGGGCGATATTGCCATGTTAGTTGTGATGAGATGATTTAAGGTGATTGCTAAGAGAGACTTTTAGAGACTAGTTTGAAGTCAGCTAGATATCACAATTAAAATGCCTATCTCAACTTGTTAATGGCAGAGGAACAATGAAAAAAATAAATGAAATAACAATACTCCACTGATGAAATAAGTAGGACATGTATGACGTCTTTAAATGATATAGCCACGGGAAAGGGGCGGGAAGTATATTATCACAAATTGGTTTGTCAGGACGTTACTGTGCAAGTATAAGGTATATCCTATATCTTACCAAGTAATAATGAATTGTAGTATAGAATTGTAAACATAAAGTGACCAAAAATTATGATTTTATTGATGTTTTGTGACTTTTGTCTGGTTCAAGCTCTCAAAGGAATATCAGCTTTTATATGTGGTCAGTAAAATATGGGGTAAAATAGCTTAAACTTGCCCTACAGTAATAATCAACTTAACAGCCATGCCCTCTTCATATTAACTCATCTGTTTAGGCCTCTATCAGACCAAAGTGGCCTGCCTCCTAGTGAAAAATAGTCATTACAGAGTTCTGAAACCAGATATCCTTATTATCAGGGGGGGGGGGGGGGTTAAATCCAGGCTTAACTCTAGCATGCGTCCACATTGAGGTTGAACCTTATACCTAATCTACATACAAGAAGGGAAGGGAATTGTGGGATTGCTACTCGGTGACCGATGATAACGTGAGGTGATCCGTGAGGTCGGATTTCTTGAGCTTCTTATTGTTGGAACCTGTGGGCAATTCAACGAAAGAAAACAAAAGAATAATGATTAAATATTTAATCAAGATTTCAAGATTTCAAGATGTATTCATTCCATTCAATAACAAACATATATGTATATAAAAGATAATACAAGTGTAAAAAAAGAAAGAAATACAAGTTATACAAACATCAGAGGGTCACTAATCTACATGGATCATCTTGGATCAATCATTTCCATGATTAATTTATGTGGATTGGTGTATGATTTCTGTATAATACTTTACAAGATGTTACATCCAGCCATTACTTGCTATTGAATATATTTTTTTAGTCACCTCTTTTTGAAAGGTCAATTACTTCATCTCTCACATGCTTTTGAGGTTTAAAATCTTCTCCTTTTTTTTTAATTTTCAAGTTTAATACGAACTATATGCACAAATTCAAGTATACAAAGAACCATTTGGTGATGCATTGCTAGTCTTTCTGACTTATTATTATATGTAACTGTATCTAACCAGGTGATGTAAATGGGTACCTGGCAGGAATTCATTCCTTGAAATGCTGGAGCGCTGTATAAACGGCTGCTAGGCTAAAGCCAGGGTAATAATAAATGTGCTTTGGAATAGAATTATCTAGATAGATGGCGCTATAGAAATGCCTATTATTATTATTATTATTATCATTTCACTATATAATTCACATGATGTAAATGTATTAATGTCCTTTATGCTGTTAGGCAATAAATAGATACAGTGAAACAAGTCTCCCTGACGCACAAAGAACCTTTCAGAATAACATTAAGTTTCGCACTCTTCTTATTTTCTCAATAAAAAAGAGAATATCTCTACATACCATCAGAGAAGTGATCAGCAGTTTTCTTCCTGAGCTGTTCCACAGACTGCTCGCTCTCTGCCCATTCTAAGACAAGGCGTCGCCCGTACAAATGACTGCTATGACATAGCGAGTCAAAGGCCCTCTGTTAGCAAAAAGAAAACAACTTTATTCATTGAGCTTTAAATTTTTTAAATAGTTGTATTATTATCTTTCAAAATTTGATAATATCCTTTTGGATATCATCGCCTGGCTGGCAGAAGGGCATTAGCTCGAATTTCAGGTAAAAAATGACACAGGACACAACTGAACCTTTCCTCTTCATTTAAAATGATTTATAGAAAGGTTCTTTCACAAAGATATTGAAAAATCAGTACTCTCTAAGCCAACTTGATAGCCCCTGTCACATCATCTATTATTGATTTACCTTTGCATCTTGCTTGGAGAGGAAATCTACAAAGCCAAAGCCTCTATGAGATCCAGTACCACTCATCTTCTTAGGGAGACGAACCGTCTTCACCTCACCAAACGTTCTGAAGATGAGAAAGAATAAAGAGGTCACTACAAAGAACTAATACATCAAAGAATTACTTCCAAACCCAATAAGAAGAATAATGATATATCTTTCAACATTACTGGTCCCCATCCCCTGCATCCCTATTCCCCTTCCTTCATATATTAACAGTTCATAAGATCTGTGTATGCAAGTTATTGCAACAAACCCAAAAGCCTTTTCGTACATGAAAACAAATAATTTGCTTTCTGTTTTCTACATTTATTGATATGTAGAAAATTGGGACAGTTACTGTATATCAGTAAAGTTGTATACATGTATATTCTGTTGCTGAAACAAACACGTGAATAATAATTGGCAGTATGATTGTATGACAGAACTTCAGCTTAGTTGAACATTCTGGGAACCTAAGGAAAAAGTTCTTACAACTCTACTTCTCACTCACAAAGAGCTCTACGACCTCCCTGCTTTTCAGTGACAAACCAAGATTTTGAACATTCACAGAACCCCAGAAGATAGAGTCTTATATATCTATACTGCCAACTCAAATAAAGAATTTTCTGAAATCTTTCTATGATTCAAATGGAACATTACAAACCAGGGGGGTATTTCACAAAGATACTAAGTTGAACTTATCTCTAAGTTGGACTTAACAATTATGGAAAGCAGTTAGCATCTATGAAAATATTTTGCAAAAATTATTTCAAAAGGCATAAAATGTTGATTCAAATAATTCATATTTTCTTATTATCTAGGAGAATTCATGTTTTTGATGTGGAATTTATAAAAGTATAAAATAACTTGATTTTTCGCTTTTGAATATATTTATTTTAAGGCTGCAAATGGCTCTCCATAATTTTTAATTCTGACTTAGAGTTAAGTTCGACTTAGGATCTTTGTGAAACAACCCCCTGGATCTGTATATCTCTATTGCCTACTCACATGAAGAGTTCTCTGATCTCTCTCGATGAGGCTTCAAATGGAATATTACGGACAAGGATCTTTGTCGACATCTGCTTCTTGGCTTTCTGTTTCTTCCTGGATGAAGACTGTTGAGTTCTATATTAAACAGAGATACAAAAAGAGAATTCATTAAAGGGAAGCAGTCACTATCAGTTATTTTATTAAACAATTTAAACAATGTATATGTTTAAAGGATGCTCTTTTTTGGCTTGAATGAATTATAACATACTGCAAATTCAAAGCAATATCTTCTAGTGTATTAAAAGAAAATATGCCTTTCCATTATACCCTTCAACGTCTATTAGGCAAAGATGTAATCTTGAATAGAACTTTGTGCGCTTTTCCTTCCCTGCATGTAACTAATCATTATTGCAATATTGCATTATGTTTTTTAGAGGTTAAGACAATGGTGCATTTTATCAAATGATAATTCATGATTATCTAAGCTTAAATCCTTGAAATCTATATTTGCACTTTACTTACTGAACAGTAGATCTATTGGAAATCTTCAGCTCAACGTTGTGACCTTCGACCTCGACATGTTGATATTCTTTCAGTGCTTTCTGAGCCCATTCTGGTTTCTCAAACTCAATGAAGCCATAACCCATGGATAATAGCTCACCTGCAAAAAGATAGAACACAGCAATGAAAATATTCACTCTTCTTCCTATATGAAAAACACTAACAGCTTTAAAAAAAAAGCTTAGACTATGTTGTTGATTTACTGTAGAGTCATCTATTTTTGAGTCACTAGAGGTTTTTCAATTGTTCAAATATATGTCAAATATTCAGAACAAATATAACAATAATAATGGGTTCTTGTATTGCCTTCATGTATGTCAGACTTGACACTCCTAGTGCTCCACGATATGGGCATCAAACTTATCGAAACAATACAAGTACTTATAAAACATTATCATGGGTATAATTTGAAACAATTACCTTGTTTTCAAATTTCTTTCTAAGTACTCGGACAGGTTGAAAAATGAAAAAATGGTAGAAAATCAAGTATGATTGAATGATTAGAAATAATTGCCAATTTCTAAGAAATGATTTTAGATTATTTTTACCAAGATGTCTTCAGGCTTGATTACGAAATATCAGTAAGTGTATGGTTATTGAAGAATTAAAAATTTCCTTTCATTTTAAGATAAAGAAAGACGATATTGTGAGAATAACTCTCTCTGACCTTGGTTCTTTGTATCCTTCTTCCGAGCAATTGTCACGTTCCTAATAGAGCCGCACTTCTTGAATGCCTGCATGGGAACACACAAAGATGGCCGTTGCATTTAGGTAGATGAAACAGAAGGTTTACACTTACGATTGATAAGGATTGGAAGCGCCTCTTGTGCAGCCAACTGTACAATCAAATCCATAGCAGCCACAAACAATCACCATTGCTCAGTTTCTAGTCTTTTAATTTGGAATATTCTTAATGAAATGTTCTTTTACAGCTCTTTTTCAAGACTATTTTCATAATTTAATCAGATAGAATGTATACATTTGCCACCATAAATTATACATTAGACATTAAATACTTGTAATGAGGTTGAAAAACAAAACTGCATCTGCTTAAAGCAGTGAAGCATCACTCTCCCCCCCCCCCCCCCCAAAAAAAAAAAACAACGACAACAACAACAACAACAACAACAACATTAATTCCAAAGAATAGCAGTGAATAAATGATAGATAGATAGATAGATAAATGAATTTTATTAGAATCTTCATGTCTGGCAGTTAAAAACTGAAATGGACATGAATTACAATAATACCAACAAGCTTATCATTCGCTCGCCAAGAGACACTGCACTCCAAAAGCCAGAACGCGTACCAAACACATCAGCCGCTGTGAGGCTGGACAAGCACTAATGTTCGTCCTGCCCAGCAACGACTAATGCACGCAATCTGCACCCTGACCACTGAGACACAATGACCCTCAGACAAAATAAAGCTTCACCATGTCTTTTTTCCACTGATATTCTTTAAGTTTGTAGAACCAATCATCTCTTCAGTTACACGTACAGGTTTCTCCATTCTTTCAACTTGAGAATTGACTTTGAGTTTGATACAGTCTATGCAAATCTTTTGGTTTCCTTCATTAAACTTTCTATTTCAACCTTGATCATACCTTCTTGAGAATACTTTCATCCGTACTGAAATTAAGATTCTTGACAAAGAGAACACTGCCTTCTTGTACTTGGTGCTCATCATCAGATTCTGAAAAATAGACAAACAGAAAAAAAAATCATAAACAGATTGAAATCATATCATTGAGAGTAAACTTAGGGTATACAACATGTATAAAAAAAAGATGCCTTATATCTGTCCTGTGGCACTTTAAGTATATCAAACTTACCGTAGTGGATTTTCGGCAATCTTGTCATTAGTACATTCTTTCTATTTCATGCTTTCCTATGCATAGACTGTATCAAACTCAAACTCAAAACCCATAGAAGTGTAGCATGAGATGTATCAAAATAATAATTTCCTTCAAAAAACTGAAGTGAATGGTTCTAATGACATTATTTTCTCTTTGCTCAAGTATGAAACCTACTCAAATCAGTTTATTTCAAATTGTTTTTCTCTCTTTTTGTACTGTCCTCTTTCTATAAGACAGTGATGCTGAATAATTTCCAGACATAAAATAAAATTTACTTCAAAGCTTAAAATCAAGAGAGTTTACCCAAGAACAAAATGAGTAAATACCATTCATAGTGCTACCACCAAATAAGTTGCACATTTGTGACCATGGCAGTAGTATCATACTTGCCAAATTATCGGAAGAAATATAATGAATGTCAAACACTTGACCCATTTCAGCAGGCAAGTACCGTAGCACTGAGCATGAAATTTTATGGATGGCATCCTAATATGATTACATTCCATCTTTCCATTTCATGCTTTTATAAGTGCATTTCATAATTACCAGTCAAGACTCAACATCTGGGGGGTGTTTCACAAAGCTTGTCATCAATGACAAATGACTTTTTTGTTATAAGGTACTGAAATCCTTGCTTCTGATTGGCCATCAGCAGATTTGTCACTGATTTTTGTTATTTGTCATTGAAAAAATGCTTTGTGAAACACCCCCCTGAACTAGCTCCATCATACCTGATTCTTCTTGAGGTTCCTCTTTCCTGACTTCTTCCAATTCTTCTTTCTTCTCTTCTTTAGTTTCTTCCACAGCAGGTGTCTTCTCTAAGCTCTTTATAGATGTACCAAAGACATCCATGGGGGCCCATTCCAAGTACAGCGGAACATGCTTGAACTACGGAGAAGAATTGGACCAAAAATATGCCTAAGCTGTTTAGAAACAATATCATAAAGTATTTCTTATTTCTAAACAAACTCATATTTTCAGTGTTACAAAATTATAATGGATGATCCCTCTAAAACATAGACATTATAATTGTATTCTTATTTTACTATTATGCAGAACACTCAAAAGTGTACATTGATAAATAAAGTATAACTTGTATTTGGGAATACAGGAATATGACTTGTATATGTAAACAAAACCGTTGGGGAATTTCATCTTGAGATGTATTTCATTAAAAACCAGTGAATCGCAAACCTTAGTGTAAGCTAGTTGGTAGAAGGCAGCTCTTGCTTCTGTTGGTTCTAAGAACTCTACAATTGATGTCACTCCTGCGGGGGGCATGAGAACCCTTCCCAGCATGCCGTGCTGACTGAACACCTCTCTCAGCTCCTCCGGTGTAGTACTTGCTGGGAGGTTCTTCACCAGGAACACTGATTTACTTCTCGCTGCAGCAGCCTAGGAAGGAACAATGTGGCCAGTATTCAGGGTTTAATACTAACAAAGAAAAACACTTATGGGACTAGTGATGAAAAGTAGCTGCTATTTCAGTTGATGTTGCAAGAATCGTTATATCAATGAGAGTATAGATCAATCGATTTTGACAGTAATCATAAATGAAATTTGCAAGTAAATCTTCTCGCATATAGAAGTACAAGTACAACTGAAGTAAAAGCCTGAATAGTCTCTTGGGGTTTTACAAAGGCATATATTTCTATTCTTAGATTGAATCACATTATTCTTTGGACCTTTAAACCTGTTTCTTTGGCAAGCATGGGAAATTAAGCACATCTCCTTTCCTCAGGAAATGTTTTAGACAACAGAAACAACTTCTAATAATTGTTCAAAGTCTTGCTCATGCATGATGCTTTAAGCTGTCTGACAATATCTACCACAGCAAAAGAAGACAATTGTGCTGTTAAAGAGGTTTACTCTATCATAATTACTCTAGTAAGAACATGGTACCTGACTGAATGAGTCTAGTAACACCCCATTGTCCAAGAGGAACTGCCTTGTTTCAGCAACAATCTGTGTCTCTCCTAGAGCCATCCGAACTCCAAGACTTCTACTCGATTCCTGTAAAAGAGACAAGTAGAAAGATCTTCAAGAGATAGCTTCATATCTTGACAATTGATTATATTATATTTCAAGTCATGTAGTTTACATTTATCAGAGGAGACATGTATAAATGGAACTTGAATTTATCTTAACTGAAATTGGCAATTGAACATTTAAGTGACTTTTTCACTATCTTTTCTAATCACTTATTATATTAATGTCGCTCTGTATTTATTATCCAGGGATGCCAGGTAGAATTGATCAGAGGGCCTGAAAATCACCTAGAATGAGCTATTTTGTACACAAAAAAGCCTAAACTATGGTCTGAAAATAACTCTCCGGGGCCTGAATTCAGGCTATTGCCTGGAAACTGGCATCCCTGTATTAACACTGTCCAATGTTTTGTTGATACTGCTACAATGTATACCTTACTGTATTGAAGAAAAAAGCCAAACAAGAAGAAACCTAACTTACAGTATCTAAGATGTCACTCTTTGAAGTCTGATATTTGGCTGCCATGACATCTGCTACTGCATTTGCTGAGATGAACAAAGTGTTCCAGTTGTGTGAACTACAAACAAAAAGAAAGATATCATCATCATCATCATAATCATCATCATCATCATCATCATCGCCATCATCGCCATCATCATTATCATCATCATCATCACCATCATCATCATCATCATCATCACCATCATCATCATCACCAACCTCATCATCATCAACACCATCATCATCATCAACACCATCATTTTCATCATCATCATCATCATCATTTTCATCATCATCATCATCATCATTTTCATCATCATCATCATCATCATCATCATCATCATCATCATCATCATCATCATCATCATCATCATCATCATCATCATCATCATCACCACCACCACCCTTACAGTCTCCTGCAAATCCCACACACAAACAACCACTGAAATGCTCTAAAACAGCGACAGTCTTCTGATTAGTTTACTGTAAATCACTGCACAAGAAACCACTATGATTTATGTCACTACTGTAACACTTTACTATTTTATATTCAATTTGGTTAGAATTGATGATCATCCAGCAAGCCCATGTGATTGCAGCATGCGTCATAGAACCTTGCTGCTGGTTAACACACTTACCATTGATGTTAACTTTGCCATCAATAGTAACTACCATAGTAACCTTGATTTTGATTGGCTGTTGAGCCCTGTTACCATGATAGCTGCCATTGATGGCAAAGTTACCACCAATGGTAAGTTGTATGCAATGGGCCAATGAATGTTACCTTCCACTCTGAGCTTTGGTCTTTGCTGCCTTCTTGTTCTTGAAAGAAGAGCCCTCCTTGTGTGTCTCTTCTTCCACCTTCTTCTCCTTGCCTGGTAGGATGTGAAGCATCCGACCCTGTCAAACAAACCAAGCAAATAATCACAATTGAGTGGTGAAGTGAGACGTCATCAAAAATCTATTTTTTGGATTTCATCATTTTGTCTTCATTTTCATAACATTACGAACCAGAGCAATATAAACTGAGTTCCTATAAGAAATGTATTTAATCAGATGGTCATATCTCGGCCAATACTTAACATATTCAATTGGTTTTTGACATTTGGACATTATTTGTTATGCTCTTTCGGACAATAAAGAAATATCTAAGGAATTCCAAAAATTGATTTTTATAATGTCACAGCTTCGGTACTCTATACAATCAACTAAAGTCTAATCACATAATCCAATCATTCACTATCAGATGTTTTCAAATGCTATTCACTTCTGTGGGTAGTTGGCAGGGATGCCCTCGCACCTCCCTACCAACAGTTCTCAATGAGGACCTGAAGACCACAGGCCAAAGCATACACTACTCAGCTGACTACTAGAGCACCTACGGCTCCGGACTAACAAGGAATGAAGGGGAATGATGAGAATTGTCAAAATTGACATAAATGTCGACAACACAAAAACTGTTTCACATACACATTATGGCTGCTTCTTTAAACGTGTTTCCATCGATAAACCATACTGAGATGATTAATAATAATAATACATAAGATTTGTAAGGCGTCAAATCCACTTGACAATCAAATGCTCAAGGCGCAGCTTGTGCAAAAGGTGAAATACATGATAAATATATACAAAAGTGCAATAGGAAAGGTACAGGCATGAAAGGTAATGGTAATCAATTATAAGCTAAATTAAACAGATGTTTCTTAAGATCATTTTTTAACACTTCACCAGAACTACTATTTTTAATCCATTGAGGGAGAGTATTCCATAATGAAGGCCCAGCATTAGCAAAGGTTCGCTCCCCCCCCCCCACCACTTTGTTTTAACCCTAGGAATAACAAGTATGCCATACAGTTCCGCCTGCGATCAACGTCACAGTGGATCGCGCGCATACGCGTGCACTTGCGCGCGAACGCGATTGATCGCGATCAGCTTAGTGCGTGGAAAACATTGCTAAAATGTAATGCAGTCCTTCCGTATGAAATGTCGCCCTCTGTTGGCGATAGTTTGCTTTTTTATTTTTGTCAGTTATTGTTGCTACTTACGCATAATGTTGCGGCGGGAATCTCAAAGTGAAATCTAATCGGCGGGGAAAAATATATATTAGACGTTCATTTTTTGACTAAATTGAAGGCGGATGACTTTTGAATTCGCTAAACCAAAATTAAATCGGTAGACTTGTTATCTAATGAGACGCAATATTTATCTATTTTTTCAAAAGACGATTTAAGTTGCGGCGGGAACCTCAAAGTGATAACTAATCGGCGGTGAAAAAATATATTAGACGTTATCTTTCAATTTCGATTGAATTTAAGGCGGTTCCTTTTTTAATTCGCTAAACCAAAATTAAATAGGTGGACTTGTTATCTTATCAGACGCAATACTATTTTTCAAAAGACGATTTAAGTTTCGGCGGGAAACTAATCGGCGGACAAAAATGTATTAGACGTTATCTTTCTATTTTTATTAAATTGAAGGCGGATCCTTTTCAAAATATCTAAACCAAAATGAAATCGGCGAACTTATTTTCTTTTATGACGCAATATTTGTCTCTTTTTCCAAAAAAACGATTTAAGTTGCGGCGGGTCTTTTGGGGGAATTTTAAAGTGAAAACTATTCACGTGACAGTTGATCGCGCGCATATGCGTGCACTTGCGATAGCAATCACTTTAATGCATGGAATTGCTAAATTGAATGCGGCACTTCAGTAAATACTAGGTTATCTTTCTTTAGGCTAGTTGATTAAATTGAAGGTGGATCCCGTTTTCGAACTCTCTAAACCACAATTAAATTGGTGGACTTGTTATCTTATCAGACGCAATACCTTTCTATTTTTCATAAGATGATTTAAGTTGCGGCGGGAATATGAAAGTGAAAACTAGTCGGTTACGAAAAAATATGTTAGACAATATCACTCTATTTTTTATTAAATTGAAGGCGGAACCTTTTTGAACTCTCTAAACCAAAATTGAATCGGCTGACTTGTTATCTTTTATGACGCAATATTTTGTCTCTTTTTGGGGGGGAAAAAAGATTCAAGTTGCGGTGGGTCTTTTGGGGAATTTTAAAGTGAAAACTATTCACGTGGCAGTTGATCGCGCGCATATGCGTGCACTTGCGATCGCAATCGATCGCAATCACTAACTTTAATGCATGGAAAACATTGCTAAAATTGAATGCGACAGTTTAGTGAAATCTATGTTATCTTTCTTTAGGCATATTGATGAAATTGTAAGTGGATCCTTTTTGAATTCGCTAAACCAAATTAATCGGTAGACTTGCTATCTTATAAAACGCAATATTTATCTATTTTTCAAAAGACGATTTAAGTTGCGGGGGAACCTCAAAGTGATAACTAATCGGCGGAGAAAAAATATATTAGACGCTATCTCTTTTTCAAAAAATGATTTAAGTTGCGGCAGGTCTTTTGGGAAACTTTTAAAGTGAAATCTATTCACCTCACAGTTGACTGCGCGCACTTCCGAACACAATCGATCGCAATCACTTTAATGCATGAAAACATTGCTAAAATTGAATGCGACAGTTTAGTGAAAACTATGCTATCTTTCTTTAGGCATGTTGATTAAATTGAAGGTGGATCCTTTTCAAACTCTCTAAACCAAAATCAAATTGACGGACTTATTATCTTATATGACGCAATATTTTCTCTTTTTCAAAAAATGATTTAAGTTGCGGCGGGTCTTTTGGGGGGACTTTTAAAGTGAAATATATTCACATCACAGTTGATCGCGCGCATATGCGTGCACTTGCGAACGCAATTGATCGTAATCACTTTACTGCATGAAAACATTGCTAAAATTGAATGCGACAGTTAAGTAAAAACTATGTTATCCTACTTTATGCCTATTGATTGAATTGAAGGTGGGTCAAAAATTTGTATTTCTATACCCCCCATTCACATGAAATACTAGTAGCGGATCTGTATCTTACCGCGTAGCGCGGAAGCTCGGACGTTTCATTAAATTGTTAAAGAAAGAAGACGATTCGTTGTACCACTCTCGACTCTTAATCCTTGTCTGAATTCAGTTCCCCCACCCCCTCCCCCTTCCCGCGCGAAGCGCGGAAGCTTTGATATTTCATTAAATTATAAGAGAAAGAAGGCGATTCGTTGTACCGTTTTCGACTCTTAATCCTTGTTTGAATCAAGTTCCAATTCCTCCGCGCATATAGCGCGGAAACTCTGAAGTTTCATTAAATTATTAAAGAAAGAAGACGTTTAGTTGCACCATCCTCGACTCTTACTCAATGTATGAATTCAGTTCCTCCCCCCCCCCCACCCCTTCCCGCGCGAAACGCGAAAGCTTTGACGTTTCACTAATAGAGAAAGAAGGCGATTCGTTGTACCGTTCCCGACTCTTAATCCTTGTCTAAATTCAGTTTCCTTTGGCGTTTCATTAAATTATTAAAGAGAGAAGACGTTTCGTTGTACCATTCTCGACTCTTTATCCTTGACTGAATTCAGTTTCTCCCCCCCCCCCCCCGTTCCCGCGCGAAACGCGGAAGCTTTGACGTTTCATTAAATTATTAGAGAAAGAAGACGATTCGTTGTACCGTTCCCGACTCTTAATCCTTTTTCTTCTTACGTCCTCTTCCTTTCTTCTTTCTCTCTCTCTCTCTCTCTCTCTCTTTTTTTTTGGGGGGGGGGGGGGGGGGGGGGGCGACCGCCCCCACCGCCACACACCCCCATGGCTACGCGCCTGTATCCTCTCTGTTTCTTATTCCTACTCTCTACTTCTTTTTTTGCACGTTTGCGCTTCGCGCTTAACATTTAGCTTTTAGATTGAATAAATTGAATAAATTCATCAATTCCTGATGAAGCCGTATGAGCGAGAATTCAATTTATTCTTGTCTCAAATACGGTTGTCTCATTTGCGTATGTATCATGAAAATGAGATAGCAAAATGTGTATATTGATGGTCATCTTGCGAGTAATAACCGTTAACTACTCTCATCGGGCTCTCATTAATTTTTCTCTTCATTTTTTTTTAATGGTAATGTACAGGCCACGCCCACCTGAAATATTGGGGGGGGGGGGGGATATATCCCCCCACCCCCACCCCCCCCCCCGGGATCGACACCTATGCCCTATTTTGTATTAAATTGAAGGTGGGTCCTTTTCGAACTCTCTAATTAAAACCAAAATCGAATGGGCGGACTTATTATCTTTTATGACGCAACATTTGTCTCTTTTTCAAAAAATGATTTAAGTTGCGGCGGGTCTTTTGGGGGGACTTTTAAAGTGGAATATATATATATTCACGTCACAGTAAGTTGATCGCGTGCATATGCGTGCACTTGCGAACGCAATCGATCGCAATCACTTTAATGCATGAAAACATTGCTAAAATTGAATGCGACAGTTTAGTGAAAACTATGTTTTCTTTCTTTAGGCTAGTTGATTAAATTGAAGGTGGATCCTTTTCGAACTCTCTAAACCAAAATCAAATTGGCGGACTTGTTATCTTTTATGACGCAATATTTTCTATTTTTTAAAAGATGATTTAAGTTGCGGCGGGAATCTCAAAGTAAAAACTAATAGGTGGCGAAAAAATATATTAGACGTTATCTCTTTTTCAAAAAATTATTTAGAGTTGCGGCGGGTCTTTTGGGGGGACTTTTAAAGTGAAATATATTCACATCACAGTTGATCGCGCGCATATGCGTGCACTTGCGAACGCAATCGATCGCAATCACTTTAATGCATGAAAACATTGCTAAAATTGAATGCGACAGTTTAGTGAAAACTATGTTATCCTACTTTATGCCTATTGATTGAATTGAAGGTGGGTCAAAAATGTGTATGCCTATACCCCCCCCCCCCCCCCCCCCCCATTCACCGTAAATCCTAGTAGCGGATCTGTATCTTACCCCTATACTGA